AGGCTAAACAATATGCTACTAAATAACCAAAAGATCACTGAAGAAATCAAAGAGGAAATCAAAAAATACCTAGAAACAAATGACAGTAAAAACACGATGACCCAAAACCTATGGGATGCAATAGCAGTTCTAAGAGGGAACTTTATCACAATACAATTCTACCTTAAGAAACAGGAAACACCTCAAATAAACAACCTAACCTTGCACCTAAAGCAATTAGAGAAAGAAGAACAAAAAAACCCCAAAGTTCACAGAAGGAAATAAATCATAAAGATCCGATCAGAAATAAATGAAAAAGAAATGAAGGAAACAATAGCAAAGATCAAGAAAACTAAAAGCTGTTTCTTTGAGAATACGATAAACCACTAGCCAGACTCATCAAGAAAAAAAGGGAGAAGACTCAAATCAATAGAATTAGAAATGAAAAAAGAGAAGTAACAACTGACACTGCAGAAATAAAAAGGATCATGAGGGATTAGTACAAGTAACTATATGCCAATATAATGGACAACCTGGAAGAAATGGACAAATTCTTAGAAAAGTACAGCCTTCCAAGACTGGACCAAAAATAAATAGAAAATATAAACAGACCAATCACAAGCACTGAAATTGAAACTGTGATTAAAAATCTTCCAACAAACAAAAGCCCAGGACCAGATGGATTCACAGGTGAATTCTATCAAACATTTAGAGAAGAGCTAACACCTCTCCTTCTCAAACTCTTCCAAAATATAGCAGAGGGAGGAACACTCCCAAACTCATTCTCCGAGGCCACCAACACCATGATACCAAAACCAGACAAAGATGTCACCAAAAAAGAAAACTAGAGGCAAATATCACTGATGAACATAGATGCAAAAATCCTCAACAAGGAGCCTGTGCTCCACAACGGGAGAGGCCACAACAGTGAGAGGCCCGAGTACCGCAAAAAAAAAAAAAAAAACTTCAACAAAATGCTAGCAAACAGAATCCACCAGCACATTAAAAGGATCATACACCATGATCAAGTGCGGTTTATCCCAGGAATGCAAGGATTCTTCAATATATGCAAATCAATCAAAGTGATATACCATATTAACAAACTGAAGAATAAAAACCATATACTAATCCCAATAGATGCAGGAAAAGCTTTTGACAAAATTCAACTCCCAAATATGATAAAAACCCTCCAGAAAGTAGGCATATAGGGAATACACCTCAACATAATAAAGGCCATATATGACAAACCCACAGCCAATATCTTTCTCAGTGGTGAAAAACTGAAACCATTTACTCTAAGATCAGGAACAAGACAAGGTTGCCTGCCCACTCTCACCACAATTATTCAACATAGTTTTGGAAGTTTTAGCCACAGCAACCAGAGAAGAAAAAGAAATAAAAGGAATCCAAATCAGAAAAGAAGTACAACTGTCACTGTTTGCAGATGAAAGATACTATACATAGAGAATCCTAAAGCTGCCACCAAAAAACTACTAGAGCTAATCAATGAATTTGGTAAAGTCACAGGATACAAAATTAATGCACAGAAATTTCTTGCATTCCTATACACTAATGATGAAAAATCTGAGAGAGAAATTACAGAAACACTCCCATTTTCCACTGCAACAAAAAGAATAAAATACCTAGGAATAAACCTACCTAAGGAGACAAAAGACCTGTATGCAGAAAACTATAAGACACTGATGAAAGAAATTAAAGATGATACAAACAGATGGAGAGATATACCATGTTCTTGGATTGGAAGAATCAACACTGTGAAAATGACTATACTACCCAAAGCAATCTACAGATTCAGTGCAATCCCTATCAAAATACCAATGGCATTTTTCACAGAACCAGAAGAAAAAAATTTCACAATTTGTATGGAAGCACCAAAGACCCCAAATAGCCAAAGCAATCTTGAGAAAGAAAAACGGAGCTGGAGGAATCAGGCTCCTTGACTTCAGACTATACTACAAAGCTCCAGTAATCAAGACAGTATGGTACTGGCACAAAAACAGAAATATAGATCAATGGAACAAGGTAGAAAGCCCAGAGATAAACCCATGTACTTATGGTCACCTTATCTTTGATAAAGGAGGCAAGAATATACAATGTAGAAAAGGCAGCCTCTTCAATATGTGGTGCTGGGAAAAACTGGACAGCTACATGTAAAAGAATGAAATTAGAACACTCTCTAACACCATACACAAAAATAAACTCAAAATGGATTAAAGACCTAAATGTAAGGCCAGACAATATAAAACTCTTAGAGGAAAACATAAGCAGAACACTCTATGACATAAATCACAGCAAGATCCTTTTTGACCCACCTCCTAGAGAAATGGAAATAAAAACAAAAATAAACAAATGGGACCCAATGAAACTTAAAAGCTTTTACACAGCAGAGGAAACCATAAACAAGACAAAAAGACAACCCTCAGAATGGGAGAAAATATTTGCAAAAGAAGCAACTGACAAAGGATTAACCTCCAAAATTTACAAACAGCTCCTGCAGCTCAATATCAAAAAATCAAACAACCCAATCCAAAAACGGGCAAAAGACCTAAATATGCATTTCTCCAAAGAAGATATACAGATCGCCAACAGACACATGAAAGGATGCTCAACATCATTAATCATTAGAGAAATGCAAATCAAAAGTACAGTGAGGCATCACCTCACACCGGTCAGCATGGCCGTCATCAAAAAGTGTACAAACAATAAATGCTGGTCGGGGTGTGGAGAAAAGGGTACCCTCTTGCACTATTGGTGGGAATGCAAATTGATACAGCTACTATGGAGAACAGTGTGGAGGTTCCTTAAAAATCTAAAAATAGAACTACCATATGACCCAGCAATCCCACTACTGGGCATATACCCTGAGAAAACCATAATTCAAAAAGAGTCATGTATCACAATGTTCATTGCAGCCTTATTTACAATAGCCAGGTCGTGGAAGCAACCTAAGTGTCCATCGACAGATGAATGGATAAAGAAGATGTGGCACATATATACAATGGAATATTACTCAGCCATAAAAAGAAACGAAATTGAGTTATCTGTAGTGAGATGGATGGACCTAGAGTCTGTCATTCAGAGTGAATTACGTCAGAAAGAGAAAAACAAATACCGTATGCTAACACATATATATGGATCTAAAAGAAAAAAAATGCTTCTGAAGAACCTAGGGGCAGGACAGGAATAAAGATGGAGATGTAGAGAATGGAGTTGAGGACACGGGGATGGGGAAGGATAAGCTGGGACAAAGTGAGAGTGTGGCATGGACATATATACACTACCAAATGTAAAATAGATAGCTAGTGGGAAGCAGCTGCATAGCACAGGGAGATCAGCTCGGTGCTTTGTGTCCACCTAGACGGGTGGGATGGGGAGGGTGGGAGGGAGACACAAGAGGGAGGAGAAATGGGGATATATGTATACGTATAGCTGATTCACTGTGTTATACCGCAGCAACTAACATAACATTGTAAAGCAATTATACTCCAATAAAGATGTTAAAAAATAAACTTATTGAATAATAATAGGTTATTAAAAGGAAATTAGGGTGACATCTTTAAAGACAAACTTCTCCCGTCTCAAAATTCATTTTGATCACAATGCAGAGAGACAAAATCCGAGGCTGGCTAGCTCTTTGTATTGACTTAATATAAAATTGCTTATACTTTTAGAACAAACTGTCATCAGAAATACATTCTTATTTAAATTCACAACATTATTAGGTCAGGCACTCTACACTCCAATTCCATAAGCCACAACTCACAATTGTAAGTTCATATTCTGTAAAGACAAACTTAATAGAAAAATATTTTAATGGTAACTACACATTTCTTAAAGTATAACAGAACACCCCCAAAAAAATTCCCATAAGACATTTTCCAATTTCCAGTTACGCAGAAGAATAAAATTACTCATAACAAAGTTTCAGTCTTTAGCTGAATAAATAGGGAAGATTAAAATGAATTACTTGAAAAGACAGATATAAGACCTTTAACAAGTATGTTAAGAGCTAAAAAATGAGTAACATAGTTAATATAAACATTTAGTGCATATCTAAATGTTGGTATGAATATCTTAAATCTTTGGCTCCATTTAAACTTTTTCTAACATAAGGTTCCAATACTAATTAGAATACAGCAATTTTCATTTGTAATAACCACACTTTACATGATATTTGGTGATCCCAGAGAATTTGCCTTTCTAACAAGTCTGTGGGTGATGCTGTTCCTGCTGGTCCAGGGTCCATGCTTTGAGAACCACTGATCTAGATAATAAAATTTGTTTTTTTAATCTCAACACAGACTTATTCTTTTTTTAAAAAAAGTAAGCTGTGCCAATGTCAGTATCTTTTTTTTTCCTGTGTAGTTAAAATAGTCTAATACCGCGTATCTATCAATTGAAAAGAAATAAGGAAATAATATTTCTATCTACCTGTTTTCTATTTATTAGAAACTGTCTTGTCAATCCATAATTGAAAAACCAAGGCTGTCCAAAGGATATGCCCCACATTACGGCTGTGGTAGGAAGGGTTCCAACCAATTCTTACCTTCCCTTAGGACTGTGTTGCACAAGGTTTCAGCACTCTGTGGACAAATTTTCTGGACCTTTGCTTGGTAGTCCCCACTAACCTTTCTAAAGCTCTTTTAGATGCCAAATATTTAATTGAGACTTTTGTCCCATATAGGCAATGGCTTGAAAAGCACTTAGCTGTTTACTTTTCATCTTACTATAAATTATTTATCCTTCAGTCTGTAAATGGCTATTTGTAGGATTAGACAAATTTTGAATGCTCTGATAAGAGGATTGTTGCATCCAAATTCATGCACAATCCAACAACCTCAGCTGGATTGGCATATGAAACAGATTCACTAAGCATATGTAAGAAGCGCAAATTATTAACCAGTTAACATCAGCAAATTTGTTTTTGAAACATGTTTATGCATACAAGCATTCCCTAATGAGAAATAATATTAGCTATAAAAATCCAATAAAAACATACCTTGAGTAGATTTCTCTACTTCTTTCCTCTTCCTACTCTGGCTATTGTAATTCATCCTCAGCTCTTGGTTATACTCATGCAGAGTTTCTCTGGAGTTGTATGACTGTCTTGGTTTTCTTCCATCTTCACTCTCATCGGAAGAACTAGTATAAGCTAGGTCCATTTCATGCTTGACTTTTGACAGAGGCTGATAGGGTTTGCAGTCTGTTTGCTCCATCTCTGATTAAGCAAGCTCAGTTTCATGAAAAAAGGAACGCCTTTAATGTAAGCAGTCCTGAAAGAAAGAGGGAAAAACACAAGCCATCTTAGATTTGTCCTTTTGCGAGAAAATGCATCTGGCCGATTCACAATTGGTCCTGATAATACTGTCAAAGGAGGGGAGCAAAAGACAAACTAGATGACATGAAGCTAGCCGGAGGCAATAATAACACTGTGTTACACGCATACCTTGTCAAGCAGTTAGGATTAGGCTGGAGGTAGCAGTATTAGAAAATACTCAAGGTGAAAGAGAGCCTTCAAAAATATTTGTATTGGAAGGCAAATAAAGGACAGCATTTTTCTATGGTGTGTGCATGTGTTTAATGTTAAAGTCTGTGGTCAGATTAAAAAAACATTATAAGATTTGAAAGTGGCCAGAAGTACAAATATTAACCCAGCACATCCTACATCTGAAATGAAAACTGGTAAGAGAACTACATTCAGAAAAAAACACATACTTGCCTCTGGTTTAATACTGCATTTAAGAAAGGGGCTCTGAGGAAGAGAATGATTCTGAGTTAGAGAGGCTCATGAAATAAAGTGTCCTTAAGGGGGACTGAGCTCTATGTGTTCATACTGTGGCTTCTGTGCCTCAGGCTTGCAGAGCATTTTTAATGAGTTAGGTGGTGGTAAATTTTTGTTCTTCATAGTACCGAGAGGATATAAACAACACTTCTGGTGAGTATACTGGTGTAGGAACAGCAGGATCTAAATTGGGTTTAGAAATAGAGATTTAACACTTCATGATAAATCACTGAAAGAACCCCCCTCCCCCACAGAATGCTGAGCTAGGAGCCACTAAGGCTCTTAAGACCCATAGAGGCATTATCCACCTTACTTAGCACAGAGTGGTTTGAGAGGATCAAACGCCACCTGACATGTCAAAGTCTTCTGCAAAGTTTAAAGTCCTGTCAAAATGTTCTTATTTTCATTCTCATTTTCATCCACTGTTGTAACTCTGCAACTTGGTCCTTTCATACAATGTTAAAGAAACCTAGCATGAAACCAAATAATGCCATGATTTTATTTTGCAGTGAAAATGACTCCCTTATTTTTCTTCAGCTCTTCACCATATGCATTGTCAAAGAAATCTTCAGGCATCTAGGTAGTGGCTCCTTTATCATGTACAGTATCTCACTTTTTGGAATTTCTATTGCATGTACAGCAAAAAGAACACTGAAATCACTCAATAAAGCTTATCGATTGACTGATATGCATTCAATGGTACATAATGCTTCGTAGTATGAGCAACGTTTCACCAGTTGAAGCCTTAGTTCCCTAACCAGGTCCTTGAAGGCAGACTCTGAGTCTTATTCCTCTTTATGTCCCCCATACCACTTAGCACTACTCTAGGCAAATACACAGTAAAAACTATTTAACTCCTGAATCTACAAATTCCATTAAGTGGCCCACGGAGACACCTAGCTTGGTTGAATTGACAGCAGAGTTGAGCATCCTTGGAGAGAAAGCAGATAAAGTATTATAAATGAATACATACTGATGATTCAACAATAATCTAAGCTCATGCCATCTGATGGCTTCACATACTGACTATACACTCACAGTCCCCCAATCTGTAGCTCCAGCATAGGTCCCTCCCCTGAGCCATAGACTTGAATATCCAACTGCTTACTCAATGTCTCTACTTGGATATCTAAAAGGTATCTCAAACTTACTATGTTCAAAACTGCTTCCCTTCCCAAAACTGCTCCTTTCATAGTCTTCTCCGCCTTGGTAAATGGCAACTTCATTCTTCTGTTTGCTCAGGCCACACTACTTGAAGTCATCCTTGATTCCTGTCTTTCACATCCCACATGCAATCCATCAGTTCATCCTGTAGGTGTTACCTTTGAAATATATCCAGAATCCAACAACGTGTCTCCACTTCCCTACTACCACACCAGGATTATTGCAATAGCCTCCTAATTGATCCGCTGCTACACCATCAGTCCCTTATAGCAAGTTCCCCACACTCCAGCCAGAATGAAGCTTTTAAATCTAAGTCATATCATGTCTCTTCTTGGCTCAAAAGTAGCAATGGCACCCTATTTCCTTTAAAATAAAAGCTGAAATCCTTACAATGACCTAGGTGGACCCCTACAGTGTCCACCTCTCCCTCCCCTAACGTCTCCAAACTCATCCTCTGATATTTCCCCCATCTCACGCACTCTAGATGTACTATCCTTCTTGCTGTTTCCAAAAATACCAGGCACGATTCCACCTCAGGGCCTTTGCAACCTCTCATTGTAAACCACTGAAAAGTGTCATTTCTCATCCTCCTTCCTGTCTTTCATAGCACTTGTCACTAAATGATATACTGTATATTTTGTTTATTGTCTGCCACCTGTCTCTCCCCTCTAAAATGCAACCTCTATGAAGGTAGATATTTTTATCTGTTCTATTCATTCCTATATCCCCAAAATGAGCACAGTGCCTTGCATATAGTAGACCTTTGCTCAATACCTGTTAAGTGAAATGAATAAACCATTGCCAAGGCTCACAAGAGGGGCCAGAGAGAATATAGAAATGAATAGGCCATAGTCTCTGCCCCCAAGGAACTCACAGTTGTTATGTAATATAAGTGATAAATAAACAACTCTACTACAAAGCATAATGAAATGACTCAAAAAAAAAGACAAAGTAATGTTTGAGCACCAAAGATGAAGATATTGGGAAAGGACTGCTTATTTGTTCATCACCAACACCATCACCACAACCACTGAAATTCCACTGAGCATCTAAAGCCAATTTTAATCTCTCTCTTCTTAGGTTCCCATAGCATATTCTTCAGAAAGTAAACAGTTGCCTGGATTTTAGACCTTGACTTAGCTACAAACAGTGCAAAGTGAGAAATGTACCAATAGCAGACTTCCCGAGATGCATTGTTGTAGCTGAAGATTGGACTTTCACCCAGAAAAGGAGGCATCAATAAAATTCACGTCACTTCATTTTAACCAACACATACAGTTCTTTGTTCATTAAAGACTGAAAGTTTACTGAGCAGGGCTGGAGAGCTATTTTCCACATAAGGTCATTGATAATGCAAAAATATCAATCAAGGACCTTATAATTAAAAATAACAATAACATGCTTGATAAAATGTTATAATAAGGAGATAAATAGATATTATTTTATTTTCTAAAGCACACTTCCGATCTCTCACTTGCTCTTTCAGTAAAATCTTTGGTTCACTCTGCTTGGGATTAACATAGCAGAGGTATGGCCAAAATAATGCTCCCTCTTAAGCCTCAGCTGGTTATAAATTTATACCACTCAAACCTAACAAGTTAAATTTAAAAATGAAAAACATCTCACTTCTAATGTCTAACGTTGTGTTTTGGTTACTATGATGTATCATGTTAAAATCACCTGTATTTTTATGTATGAAAATCTAGACATTCTTCTCTCCCTCAGTATGGGTACTTGCAACATGAAAGTGAGATGAGGAGAGAGAGAGAGATTCCTATAGCCATTCTGAACCATTCTTGAAGTTCTAATCACAGCTATTCACAGCTATAATCATTGAGTGTCCGTTGGAAACAATCTTACACCACAAATTGGTAAAAACCAAGAGAAAATAATCTTTCCCTGTTCCCTGACCCTCAACCACAATTTCTTATGTTAAAATCTACGTCAGTGGACAGAGATGGCAGAAGATATACTCCAGCTCTCTTCAGACACATGATACGGAGGCACACATAATCATGTGCCTAGAGCTGTGGAAGTATACAACTATGAGATTTACCAAGGTCTTGAGAGACAGAGCTTGATGTTACTCAAAACTAGTTCACCTTTTGAAAATAAAAAAAGTGGTAAAACATTAAGAAAGAGATTAATATTTTAAATGTAACGAACTTTGAAAGCACAATAATTCTGAAAAGATGCTGTTCTAAATACTCTAAGGTAAAGAATAGGTTCATATCTGCTTAATTGACTTTTTCATTCAGTGCCTGGAGGTCCACTGACAAGCCAATGTCATTTAGACATGATGATGACATTATCAACTCGTAGAAAAACCAAAGGTACATATAATACAATTCACATCAAAATAATTTTTTATTTCTCTATTATTTTGATAATGATAAACTTTTTTAAAAAAAGCAATTGTGTAGGTAAACGCATGCTGCTAATGTAAAAGAGTAAAAAACAAAGAAGTCAATTATCTTTGCTACTGCAGAAGATCCATTCAGATAGATCACATAGTATAAATTCAAATGTCACCACCCGTGGTTTACCCTTGTGTTTTCCACTTTCTACTTGCTAACAAGATAAACTCCAAGGTGACTTCAGAGGAGACCCAAGGAGGTTTTATGTTTATTTATTTAGTCACATAAGGCTATGGAGAGACAATTTGGTATGGGGAAATCACTGGCCTTGGAATGGCAGGATTATCACAACAAAAGCAGCAGCTGCCCCAGCAGCAGCTAACTCATGGCAGTTACCAGGTACCAGGCCTACCAGACACTGTTGTAAATGCTTTTCATATATTACCTCTTTTCATTCTTATAGCTACCTACCCTATGAGGTAGGTACTACTTTTATACCCATTTTATACCCATTCTTATACCCATTTTATACCCATTTTATACCCATTCTTATACCTACCCTATGAAGTAGGTACTACTTTTATACCCATTTTATAAAGAAAACTAAGGAACAGAACAGTTAGGTGACTTGCCCAAGGTCACACAGCTAGTAAGCAGAAGAGGTGAGATTTCAATTCATACAATCTGTCTCCAAAGGACACACTCTTGATCACTATTCCACTTTGTCTTTCAGAAGAATACCTGGAATAGTGGCCTAAGGTACATCATCTTCCCTCTCTCGGGGCCTCTAGTTTACCTAAATATAAAAGGAGATTAGATTATCTCAAAGAGCTCTTCCAGCTCTAAAATCCCATGATTGTATATGAAATTGAAGGGAAGCTTAAATTGATTGCCCCCCCAAATGGTGGGTATGTTCAAAGCCAAGTTTACATTATTTATCATTGCTCCTCCTATCAGCTTGCCTTCCTTC